GAATCTGTTCTTCGCGGTCGGCTTTGTGATCGCCGAACGCACTCTATATATACCGAGCACTGGCTTCTCATTGCTGGTCGCCTACGGCTTCGTTAGGATCGAGAATCACTTCCAACGCCGACATATGTTTAAGAATTGTCTGTTGATTATGTTTTCGGTGACCATTGGTTTGTTTTGCCTCAAGACTCAGTTCCGGAACAACGACTGGAGCGACGAGTTGTCGCTCTTCTCGTCGGCCATTAAAGTGAACGCAAATAACGCCAAACTATACAACAATGTCGGACACCATTACGAAAGGCTCAAAGACTTTGACACAGCCTTACAGTACTTCCAGAAGGCGTCCGAACTGCAGACCGACGACTTGGGCTCTCAGATCAATATCGCCCGAACTCTCATCAATTTGGGTCAACACTCCAGAGCCGAACGCATGCTCTGGAAACTCAAACCCAAAGTCAAACTCTCGGCCATTAATAACCGAATTATTCCCAATTATCTCAATCTGTGGATCAATTTGGCGAACATTATCGTCAAGAATGAGACCAGACTTTCGGAGGCGGAAAATGTGAGCCTAAAAAATATCAGTCTTTCGTAAATGATTTCTAACTCTTTTGATTGTTTGTTGTGTTTAGTTATACAAAGAGCTAATAGGGATGCGTTCGGACTTCGTTGAGGCCTATATTAATTTGGGAGACATTCTCATACGTCAGTCCAAACTGACCGAAGCGGTCGACGTTTACCGCAGAGGCCTATCGTTGGCCCAAACAGACAGAAGAGCCGATTTGTACTTTAATTTAGGTGTCGTTCACTCAATGCTATTGAAGGCTAACGCCGATGAAATGGACAGCAATCGGACCGAAAACGTGTTATTAATCGCCGAATACTTCCAGAATTCAACGCTATTTAATAGCAATCATAAGGAATCGATCGTTAATTTGGCGATTCTTCTGCAACAATACGAACCAATTCTGCGTCCATTCAAAAAAACATTGATCCGCACAATGAAGAGCTATTCGGGCGCCGATCCGGAACTCGTGTACTTCAATCTGGCGCTACTCCTGTCCGACGCGGGCGACAACCGGTCGGCCATTCATTATCTGAAGCGAGCGAT